CCCTAATCCCTGAGCCCTGAAGACCTCCGGCCCTCTCCTTCTAACCAAGAAGCTCAAAGGCCAGCGACGTGGACAAGAAGAAGGGCCGCAAGCTGGATCCCAATGAGGATCTGCGTAACAAGGGCTTTAAGGCCTGGCGGGCAGGATATAGAGTTTAGGGTGTAGGGTTCAAGGTCAGTATGTACCAGCATGTCTTGACAAGAAGCATTTGGAGCCAAGGTCTGCAACGGATTGATGCCAGAGCACTCAGGGCAGAAGAGTTCGTTGAGGATGTAGGGATTAGGGCTTGGGATGTTGCGATGGATGGTTAGTTTTGCTCTGCATTTAGGGTTGCGGAACTCGTGCTTGCAGATTGATTATGATCCAATCCCAGAGGGTCCACATATACAACCATTAGGGAACTGAGACCCATAATTCCATCTATAACATCTTTATACCAAACCCTCTCCAAGGAGGACCGAATGCCAAACCTTAACCCCCTAAACCCGTAGCCTTACCTTTGTAAACCCTCTACACTCTAACCGGTTGAGATCAAGAACTGAGCAACTGCTGGGACAGAGGGTACACCTTTAAACTCTAAACCCTGCTTATAGCCCGGTTCACAACCTGCTCACTAACTCGGGCGAGGACCTATGGGGTTAAATTCCTAAACCCTAAATCCTAGACCCTAAGCCCTAAGCCCTATAAAGGGATTGGACGTTAGGGTTTAGGGTGTATAGGGACTGGAGTGTAGGCTGTAGGGAATGGAAGTTAGAAACCTTCAAGCGAGCTATAGTCTAAAAGTTTAGGGTCTAGGGTCTAGGGTTAAGGGGTTAGGGTTTAGGGCCTGGGATGTAGGGTTGAGGGTTTGGGGTTCAGGGTACAGGGTTTAGGGTTGAGGGGATTCATGAAGCCTAACTAAGGGGGAAGACAAAGGGGTTAGTACTGGGTGGGAGTAGGAAGGACACCCTAAACTCTTAGATCCTAAATATAAGCCACTATGGTAGGTCATTATCCCTATATAACCCCGATACATTATAATAGTAATTCTCGATTTCTTTTCCATTATCCCTGTATAACCCCAATATATTATAGTAGTTTCCATCATCCTTATATAAACCCTATATAATGAAGAACAATTCGTCTGGCAGATCATGAAAGACCTGCTTGACTTCAAGTTCCAAGAGCGCGAGAAGAAGTGCCCTGCAACCATGGACTCGGTTTAGGGTTTAGGGCTTAGCATTTAGGGTTTAGGGTTTAGAACTTCGGGTTTAGGGTTTTGGGTTTTGGGTTTAGGAAGGCTCATGGAACGTAGTCGGTAGCTTACTAATGAGATGAACTGAGCTGACGACATGGGGGGGGTTAAAAGATCTAGGGGGCCCATTTCGGAAACCCCCACACTCAGCTCTACAGTCGATAACTCCTAAGTTTAACCCAGTATAGTAGGCGTTTTATGGCATTTTTTAGATTTTAGGGTTTATTTCAAGATTTTAGGATTTACCTGGGCGTTCTATGGCTCGTGCTCTGGTTTAAACAATATACATATTTGGACTTCGTCCATGGCCAAACCATACCGTGCCCGTAATAACGTTCGTGTTCCGAGAGCATACGATGACCGGAGCATCCATGCCCAAACCATACTAACGTTCGTGTTCGAAGAGCATACGATGACCAAAGCATCCGTGCCCAAGCCATGATAACGCTCGTGTTCCAAGAGCGTACGATGACCCCAGCATCCGTGCCCAAACCATATTAACGTTCGTGCTCCGAGAGCATACGATGACTAGAGCATCCATGCCCAAGCCATGATCACGCTCGTGTTCCAAGAGCATACGGTGACCAGAGCATCCATGCCCAAACCATGACAGCGTTCGTGTTCGAGGAGCATACGATGACCCTGCAGAGCATCCATGCCCAAGCCATGATAACGCTCGTGTTCCAAGAGCATACGATGACCAAAGCATCCATGCCCAAACCATATTAACGTTCGTGCTCCAAGAGCATACGATGACCAGAGCATCCATGCCCAAGCCATAATAACGTTCGTGCTCCGAGAGCATACGATGACCAGAGCATCCGTGCCCAAACCATACTAACGTTCGTGCTCCGAGAGCATACGATGACTAGAGCATCCATGCCCAATCCAAGAGCATACGGTGACCAGAGCATCCATGCCCAAACCATGCTAACGTTCGTGTTCGAAGAGCATACGATTACCCTGCAGGGCATCCATGCCCAAACCATGATAACGTTCGTGTTCGAAGATCATACGATGACCAGAGCATCCATGCCCAAACCATCATAACGTTCGCGTTCGAAGAGCATACGATGACCAGAGCATCCGTGCCCAAACCATAATAATGTTCGTGCTCCAAGAGCATGCGATGACCAGAGCATCCATGCCCAAACCATAATAACGTTCGTGCTCCGAGAGCATGCGAATGGCAATGCCGCATGGGAGGCTGCTTGCATTGATCGCGTCCTAGACCATCGACCAGTAACGCACCAGCTTAAGATCTTTGCTGCCGTGTCAAACACCGGGAAACCTCAGTAACATGGCTGGTACGCAATGCATAGATAGAACCTGGCTCAGCCTCAAAGTGTCCATTGGGACAAAAGTTGCTTCTTAAACACAAAAGCAAGCCTCTCAATGAGGAGGCCAAAAA